CTGGCCTCCAATTTGCCTTCCACTGGCCTCCTATTGGCTTCCATCCGGCCACCTACTGGCTTCCATCCGGCCGCCTACTGGCCTCCCACTGGCCTCCAACCGGAATCCCACCGGTCTCCTACTGGCTTCACTCCAGCCTCCCACTGACCTCAAAAGCAAATACTTTGTTACAATAAAATTGGTGTCCAAAGTGAGATGCACCCTATTTAGGTCTTCTTTCATAGATTTTAGAGGTAACACAAAACGTGAAGCGAATATGATGTCCCGAATTCGCACCAACACCCAGAAGTCCTAACTCAGGTGTTGACAGATGAGACAAGGTTAAAGGCCTTAAGGACGTTTATAAATAGCGATATTTAGTGTCATATTTTTATTCTATTAACTCTGTGTCCAGCATGAAAAGTCTCCAACAAACATGGCCAAAGTGCGGTTTTGAGAAAAGTTTAAAAGTCAGTTAGTGGGTAATGCATAAATCATAATTGTGTAAATCGTTGCAATCTGACACAATATCAAAGAATCCCTATTAAAATTGCCGCTAGTTTTTACGAGTGGGGGAAATTCCGAGCCTGTCAGCTAGGTCACTTTCAAAATAGGGTCAGTCAAAAAGGCATTTTCTACGACACAAAAATCAAATTCCTTCTCCCTATAATAACATCTTCCTTCCCATTGATAATTCATAAGTATGGCATACTCCTGCCTTCTGTTTGAACACGTTTAGCCTTCAAAGTCTTCATGGAGGATGGAGTTGTTGTTCCTGTACTAAGTGATCCCAAAATGGTTCATGGAATTGGCTTTTCTTGTTGAAATTACACAAGAAGTTACAAGACCAAGGGAAGCTTGTCATTGTTGTCGATGACGTTGTCAGGGTATTCTGCACAAAACGTATATTTTATTCTGCACAAAACGTATGTTTTATTCTGCACAAAACTTATGTGTTATGAAAAACCAAGCTTTCTCAGAGAAACTACTGCCAATCTCCAAACATGTAAAGTATTCATGGACTCGAGCGCACCATTTAGTATTAAGTATATACTGATGCTATTTCAAAGCAACAGGAAGAATTCGATCACGTTTGCATACTTCAAAACACAGAGAGACACTTTTCAAATTTTTGCTGGCCCTTTCTCCTTGAATCACTAAGATGCCACCCCCCTCCCCCCAATCCCGGAAATACCTTTGCGCTTCAAAATGCAGCTGATTGATCTTCAGTGCAATTCTGAAGTCAAGAACAAGTTTTAAAATCAAATTCAAATAAATAAATAAATATTTATATTGTTGGGGTTTTTTTTTAATTCAAAGAAAACCTATTCTTATACTTAATGAACTGAAATTAAAGCTTACTTAAAAACCTTAATAAGAAATAAATAAATACGATATAAGCTTGTACAAAATTATTTTCATCAGTGTATATTATAAAAGTTTTAAATTAAATAAAGTGTTGAGTTGGTGCAACATGAATTTTTAAATTCTCACAGATAAACAGACAAATTATACAGACCCAACTCCTTATGTCATATCAGGAGTTGTCATTTTCTTGGTCGCACTGGGACTTTGTCTCTGCAAATATTGTAGGTATTCACGAAAATATTATATTAATGGCTACGCTCATATGGTCTGATTGAGTTTTAAAAAGGCAAACCTTTACCCACTAGTTATTTAGATAAGAATACCTTTACCTAAGAGTCGATAAGTTACGCATATCTTTACCCACAAGTTGTTTAGCTATATATATTGTGTATACAAAATTTTATAGTTCATCAAATCTAACTTTCTTTTTTTTTTTCCTTTACCTCATAACTTATCTTTAAACTCTAAAACTAGATGCGTCTTGTGGTTCCCGAGCCGCCAAAACTCTTGGGGGGGGGGGGCATGAACCTATGAATATTAAAAAGCTTAAAATTTTTGGCGTTGTTTTAACAATGTTTACCTGCTGTGAATTCCAGGTCATGTTGACTTTCCCTTGGGCTGGTTCCACGGGGGCGGTCAATGCGTTTACAGTACCATCATCGTGTCAGTTTAAAATTCGACTGGAATGAATCTATAATATATTTCAATAATTGAAGCACCTCTAAGATGAAGCAATATCCCATTTAAGAATAATCTCTCTCTTCCTGAGGCTCAGTTCAGACGATCAAATTCTTTTCAAATTTCCATTCATACATTTGATGCGATTTTTGTATGAAGCCTTGTCACAACTTTCAAATTACGATTTGATCAAATTCTCGTTTCTGTTCAAAGAGAACCACGCACAAAATAGTGCGTTCATACAAAAATTTGAAAGGAATTTGATCATGTAAACTGTAAACTGACGTTTAATACCAATTGCGTACATTTGCGTAACACACTTCTCTCAGCCGCTCTATCGCAAGACTATTCTCTCAGCCTCTCGATCGCAACACTTCTCTCAGCCGCTCTATCGCAACACTATTCTCTCAGCCTCTCTATAGCAACACTATTCTATCTGCCTCTCTATCGCAACACTATTCTATCAGCCTCTATTTCACAACAATCTTCTATCAGCCTTTCTATCTTGGCATCTAATTTCCACAAACTATGTAGGTACACGATTTCAGTGCATTTCCTGCTTGATCTTATAAACTTAGCTGAATCCAAGCTCAAGCTTTCTTTTTACTGAATTCTGTAGCAGCAATTAGGTAGGGTTTTTTTTTAACACTTCCCACCTCGGACGTAAATTTTCTCATGATTCAATGGGTGCAGATTGAGTATTATGACATAATGAGATCAGTGAAGTATTGTTTATCACTACATGTTTAGTCCGTACAGCTGACTCACCGATTATTTATGAAGTTGCTACCTTCATTGTTCTACTTTCTTCAGATATCATGGTAATGTTGTATGAACAAATAATAAAATCAGTATTTGTAGGTGTACGAGTTATCTTTAGACAATGTGCAGAGTTTAATTTTTTTTTAAATTGGTATTTAAGTAGCAGGTCTTGATACGTAGAAATAGGTGCACAGTACTTCAGTAGCAGAAAAAAAAACAGACAATGTTAATCGCTCAATGTCTTTAACACCAAAACTATTTAAACAAAATAAAAATCTTCGCTTAGTATCAATAGATTCAGATTGTGTTCTTCACCAAGTCTCATTTACCGACCAGTTGATTTTCTTATTTGTTGGCTAAGCGATCACAGGGATCACGTGACATGAAACAATGGGATTTTAGTTTCATTTGAAACAAAACTGAATGTGCTAATGAGAAAGGGAAATATTCTCTTCAGTCATCGCCATTGATATTCCTTGGGGATCTGTAGCACAAGTCAGTGTCTTTACCTCGCAGCATTTACTTAATGCCAAACTTAAAATTCCTTGCTATTACTTGGCTAAACCTAGCCCTGTAACTCTCTGTTGGCTGAGACTAGCTCTGTATCTCTCTGCTGGCTACATCAAGCTTTGTATCTCACTGCTGGCTACATCAAGCTCTGTATCTCTCTGCTGGCTACATCAAGCTCTGTATCTCTCTGCTGGCTAAGTCAAGCTCTGCATCTCTCTGCTGGCTACTTCTAGCTCTGTATAACTCTGCCCAAGCAAAGTGTTATCTCTTTAGAACTTTGACCTTATCCGTGTCTAAAATCCCTGATAATTTAGCTGTTATTTTTATTAAGTAATCCTGGTATTAGTGTGAAATATTGTCTGAAATTCATATAAATTAGTTTTAACAAAATGGATGGACGTTGGTAGTTTCTATTGCTGGAAATGGATGTTTCAGAGAGTAAAATGAAATCTTTGAAGCTAGTGATCCAATTAAAATGTTCAGTTATTTAGGTGTTTCTTAGCGGAACGTTCATTGCTAAAAAAAAAAAAAAAAAAAAAAAAAAAAACAAAAAAAAAAAAAAAAAAAAAAAAAAAAAAAAACCTGTTAGTTTAAAGTATACCTGAGGCACGGAACCACAGTCCTCAGACCCATTCCTTTCTTTTCTGGCAGAGAAGTACAAAAACATTTTTGGCAGAGAATGACAAAAACCATTACTGGCAGAGAATGACAAAAAAACAATATTGGCAGAGAAGTACAAAAACATCTTTGGCTGAGAATGACAAAAACATTACGGGCAGAGAAGTACAAAAACATTTTTGACAGAGAATGACAAAAACATTACGGGCAGAGAATGACAAGTCAATTGACTTTATAAAAGCTGGAAATTTAACTGCGAAGAATGAAGTGTCCAAATATGTCTTCCTACTCACTGGAAGCAAGGTCTTAAGCAGTGTGGGACACAGTTTGATCGTCAGACTTCCTTGTGCGGGTTACAACAAAGGAATCTAAAGTGTTAAATTTATGTAACAATTATACTTATTACTGTTTTCATGATTAATAAAAATTAACATAATAATAACATTTTTTTTCTTTTTCTTAACAGTGAAAAAGAAATGGTAAGTTTCATTAATTTCATTTCCTTTTTTTTTTTGAAATAATAAGATAAGAAAAGATTATTTCATTGAATCAGACAAATGGAAATGTGTTTTGATTGCATTGTTTATTTTCAGAACATAAATAAAACATCTAAATTAAATTATTTTATTGTGAAAAAAAACAGACAGTCAATGAACTCTCTCAGTCATATCAGGGACTTATCAGTTCTCATTTAGTTTTGTGACTTCTAGGGGAGCACACTAAGAGCGTTTAATCTACCCTTAATTACTTGATATTTATCTTTTAAAGCTGATTGAAATCGTAGGTACATTGTTAAGTGATTATTGTTGCACTGATTTTAAAAATAAAATCTTATTCTCAGCGTAATGAAATGATGAAACGTATTTTATTTATTTTATTTTTAAAAGATTTTTTACAATATTTATCAAATTAATTTATCTGAACAGCTCACACGGCGAAGCAACAGAAGTTAATACGTCACTAGAACTGCAGGACTCAGCCACCGCATCTCTCTTGGCCAATACACCGACAGCCAGAAACGTGTCTGAGCCAGCAGGCTTTGACATGGATAGAGTCTGCAGAACGCTAGCCTACAACGATGATGAGATTCTTGTAACACCCGGATACGTGGCGAGAGACAACTGTCGAATATTAAGGGCCAGTATTCACCAGGGAGATGGTGTCCTGTTCAAAGGACCCTACTGTGGGTTCGAGTCCTGTTCTATGGCTATGACGATCATTATGAGAGCAGCCATCCTCCCGATATCACAGTGGACCAGGGACATTGTCACACACAGCTTGATAGCAGGACATCGTTTGTATAGCATGGTGATGTACAAGACATGCGTCAAGCTTCATCCCGAAATGATAAGAGCTTGCTTTAACCTACCAGGACGATATTTGCAAGTCCGAGAGTTTGATATCGTGACGAAGTGTGTGCTGCTCTTTGAAAATTTGTTCACCTTACATTTTGAAGACGAATCCCAGCTTTTCGGAACTCTATCGGATGGTTATAATCCAAAAAGCCCAGAAGAAGGTCCGGGAAAGACATTACTTGATGCCCTCTGGGAACTGTTCGATAAACATAGTGCAGGTATTTTCATTGCAGGTAATAAACCAATTGCTGTTATAAGCCATGACAACATGTTTTACATGTGTGACAGCCATGCATGTGGGCCCGATGGAGAACCGACTGCCGAAGGTAAGGCGTGTGTCATTCAAGTCAACTCTTTGGTGGCTCTAACACATTTCTGCAAAAGAGCGGCAGGTGATGGGAGTCTCACCTTTACAGTTGAGCCCGTAGACGTCACTGTCAAGCGTCCCATGATGCCGTCAACTTCGGATGCCCAAAATTAAATCAGATGTCAAATTTATTTTGATAGATTTTAAATTTAAGAAATAGTTTTAAGAGAGCATCACAGCGAATGTCCAAACTTCAATTTCAAGGAATTAAATTTATATATCCGCTAAAATTGGATAATGTTTTTTATTTTAATGATGATAAAGTATGATAGAATGCCTAGTTTAAAATAAATGTAATGAAGAAAACCTGCAAACTAAACTGGAAATTTTTTTAACTTTAATTAACGTTCTAAACTGGATATTTGGCAACTCGAACTTAACGTTTTATTCAATTCTAAATGGCGAATGCTCATCAAAAGGAACGCTTGAGATGAAATCAGAAGCTTCGTTGAAACAAAATTTAATATGCAAAGAATCAAACTTCATTACAATTTACAAACAAATAATTATAACATTAACTTTTTTTTTTCCTATTCAAATAAGTGAAAACTTTTTAGGTGATTTTAATGTAAAGCTTGTGGTAGCCATGCTGCGTTTTCAGAAGAGCAACACATGATGAAAAATGTAAATAAGAAATTCATATGAAACTGAACCTACATGTGGCTGGGACATCAACAATTCTACTACGTTTAAGATCAGTATTCTTGTGAACCTATACGGACATAAGGTGATTGGGACATCAACAATTCTATTGTGTTTAAGTATAGAAAAATTTTTATCTGAAATATTTAACGAAGTCATTTTTAGTTCAGTTTTCAACAGCAAGAGGAAAAATATAAAAACAATTTAATAATTGACTGATATTTCGAAGGACAATACCTATCCTAATATGGTGAAATTTACCTCATCTATATAACAATAAAATAAAATTTGACGTATCTATTGTATAATAAAATGACAGATTTACATTATGACAATAGCTTTGGTGGCAGGTGGCGCTTACTTAATTTTTTTTTTAATTAATGAACATTTTCTCATTGTTTATATTGTGTGTTTCAAATGCGGGCACAATTTTACTCTCCATCAGTTGATCTAACATTGACTTTTTTAACATTCTTCTATTGATCTCATACTGAATTTGTAACATTCATCTGCTGATCTAACACTGACTTCTTATCTTTCATCTGCTGATCTAATTCAGACATTTTAACACAGAAAAAGTGCTTTTCTGCAACTTTGTCATTTTAACTAATGTATGATGTAACCTTTATCATGATTTTGTTAAGGTTGTGGGTAGTTTAAGGTTATGTTTTATGTTCTCGCGTACTTTTATAATAAATGGCAACTAGCAACAAATATTTTGTAATTTTTTTTTTTTGTCTTTTATATTATTATTGAATGTTGCTTACTATAAACCGATCGTTTCAACTTTAGGGATTTCTGACATTGTTAATTAAACCTCTCCAAATCATAGGGTATTTCCAGCTTTAGACATTTTATCTTAAATTTGAATGTAATCGTGTGTTCGGGTGACAATGAACCGCAGGTCTGACAGCTATAGCTTTGTTCTTAGGTACAATCCGTTGACAGTAAAATCTCTCACACAATATCTAAAATATAATATTCCCTCAGTATCCGACACAGCTGACTACTCATACACACCTCAGAAACAGAAAGGTCCGGGTTTAAATTTCCACTGCCTTATGTAATCCAAAAAAGGATGTCCACGTCATGAGGTGTTTACGAGTCCCCCGTTGGACAGGTATGCCCAGCTCAGTGACTGTGAACATAGAAAGAAAAACCCCATAGGTGGCACCCTAAAAACATAGGCGGCACTCAGCCACATACAAAATGTTATCAAAATGCAGTTTACAAAAAGGGGCACATTGCCACCAATGTTCCCTCTAAGGTTTGTTGGTTCGTGTCCAAAATCATACAGTTGTATGCAAAGTTTTACAGCATTATTTTTTTGTGTGCAAAATTTTACAGCCCACAAACACAAACACACACTTAAATGGAAATTCGCTGCGCGGTACTCAAACCTGCTGCGCGGCGTCTGTGAGATAGCTGCGCAGCCACGCAGCTTAAAGGAACATTGATTGTCACATCCATCCCAATTGTTTAAAACCCAACATCCTCGCTGGTCATACTATAATACAATAGGACTGTAATTCCCCCAAAAAATACGGGAGAATATATAACTGTTTAACCTAAAAAACATCAGAAACAACATAGGAAAGCGAGTATTTACACATAGAAAACTTGGCTTACACAAAAAAATGGCCCAAAATTTGCGAACAAAAATGATTCTTAGAATTCAAAAATGCTATTAATTTTATATGTGTATCTTACTTTTAAAATTTCATCGACAGGTCCTAAGTAATATCTTAACTAGAAAATGTATAGAGATATGTAAATAAAAGTTTATCGACGTAAAAAAAGTAAGAAAACAAAGCATTAACTCAGGAAACCTGGCATATGTACTATAGGAAACTTGATATATACAACATATGAAATCTGCGAAAAACAATGTCTCCAAATTTGCAGACAAGAAAATTCTGATACTTTTAATTTTAAAATGGTAGCATTTCCAACCTGTGAAATGGTACTATAAATGTTCATATGTCTCTTACTTTTATACTTGAACAGCATATACCTCCGTTATAGATGTTCCACATTGCTATAACTAGAACATGTACAGAGATCTTTACATAAAATTTATGGACTTGTAAAAATGAGATAATGGAATGGCAGGTAGTACTTGAAGTCAACTCCCAAAAACTGTTTTAGTTGCTCTAGACAAGTAAATTTTCTACAAGAATCGTTGCATTATATGACAATTAAACAAAAAATTCATCACTGTCTTCCCATTATAACAATATATTGTCATTTTCTTCAACTGTTTTAGTTTCTTTAGACAAGTAAATTTTCTTCTTCTTCTTCTTCTATATCTTAAGGGCCCACGATCAATTTATTGATCATTTTGGCTCCTATGCATGTAGATGGGATTTGCAATGTTTCTGTTACTGGTGGTGATGAGGAAATTATGCACTAGGAGTTTGAAGGCTTGAGGCAATAGACACAAATGTGTCTAGTGTTGTCGCCTCAACTGTTCCTTTTGAAAGATGGTTCCAGTCCCTGATTGTCTTGGGCAGGAATGAGCAGCTCCTATACTGGCTTCTTGCTGGTATGAGCCTGAATTGCCTGTCATGGCCTCGTCGCTGTCTATGGGGGAGAGGGACGAGTTTCTGTTTAATACTGGAACAGTGGACCAGCCCATTATTTATCTTGTACATCATGGAGAGCCTGGATTGTCGTCGTCGTTTCTCCAATGGTGACCAGCCTAGTGTTTCTAGCATGCTGCCAACACTAGAGGTATTCCTGTAGCGGTTTAGGACAAAGCGTGCTGCTCGTCGCTGGACCGCCTCCAACCTGTCAATGCTCTTCTGGGTAAATGGGTCCCAGACTGAAGATGCATAATCTAAAATCGGACGGATAAAGGCTTTATATGCTCTTTCTTTCACACAGGAGTTGCCAATCTTTAGATTTCGCCTTAAGAACCCCAAGGCTTGGTTTGCTTGGTTACATACATTGTTAATATGCTCGTCCCAGCGGACCTCTCTTTGAATGGTAACACCCAGGTACTTTACGGAGGAAACTTGCTCAAGAATATGGCCGTGCAGTTTGTATTGGTAGTGTAGAGGAGTACAACTTCTAGAGATTGATAGTGTCTGGCACTTGGCAGGGTGAAACTCCATGTCCCAGCTCATCTCCCACTCAGCTAACAGATTGAGATCCTGTTGTAGCTGGTTCTAATAGGATCATGACATTATATCACAATAAAAATCATCATCACTGATAAGATATTGTCATAACTGTCATGTTTTACAACATAGGTGTCCACCCTAACTCTTGAAACCCAGCGGCCTCGATGACTCTACTACAACCGTAGCAAAAGTTGCAATACAAAAAAATCAGAGAACTATTGAATATTTAAACAAATAAAAAAAACATTTAGCATAAACAACTAGTGTCTTTTTTGTACCACTGCCTCATGTCTGTTTCTTTCGATCTGCGATGAGAAGTGATCTGCGTGGTATAATTTGAGGAGGTACTACTTGCGTTGTCTTTGGCTGCTGGGTTTGCCGCGACTAGTGTGAAGGTATCCTCGTCCTCATTGTCACTAGTGGCGGTCGTCTCTGTGGGTGTCACACTTGAGGGTAGTACCAAGTCAACCAGGGGTGCTTGGCCGGAAAAAATGTCCTTTCGATTAAGAGTTTTCTCTGCCCCTCCCGCTACTGGCAGTAGTCGGTAGACATGTTTGTCCAGTAGAACGGCCGTGGTACAGTACAAATCTGGCTGCCAGTAATCTTGTATCTTGTTTCTACCTAGCACTCGTAAGTGATCTCGGGCTAGTGGGTCATCTCGGGCTAGTGGGTTATCTCGGCTAGTGGGTCATCTCGGGCTAGCGTCCGTGAGGGCGAGGGCGATCCTTTTTGTATTTTCCTGTTTACGGTGGAGAAGTACGATGCGATATGCTTCTAGTAGGCGGTGGTGATGCTGCCTCACGCTGTCAATGCCTGTCGGTGCGACATCTTCGGTCGGTCCAAACATTCATCGATGTTGAGTCGAGGAGCTCTCCCAAACAGGAGGAAATATGCGAACCCTGTAGACGCATGGGGAATGTTATTGTACGCTTGTACCAAGTCCGGTAAAAACATGGGCCACTGGCATTTCTTATCCGTTGGTAATGATCGTAGTGGGTTGTGCGTAGTCCGGTTAACTCTCTCGTACTGGCCATTCCCTTTAGGATGGTACGGAGTGGTATGCGACTCGTTAATGTCGTAAAAGGAGCACAGTTCCGCAATTAGCCGTGATTCAAAAGAACGACCTTGGTCACTGTGAATTCTGACTGGCACCCCCCCCCCCCGTACTGCTGGAACCACTCGTGGACCAGTACTTTGGCTACTGTGGCCGCTTCTTAAGTTCCGCAATTAGCCGTGATTCAAAAGAACGCCCTTGGTCACTTGGAATTTTGACTGGCCCCCCCCCCCCCCGTACTGCTGGAACCACTCGTGGACCAGTACTTTGGCTACTGTGGCCGCTTCTTGATTCCGGGTCGGCACAGCTTAAGTGAATTTTGTCAACACATCCTCTCTCCCCTCACTTGCTTGATCTAGCTTGGTGAAGTCAATTGCAATTATTTCCAGCGGTGGGCTGGCAACAATCGGCGTTGATGTGGTATGTATCATGCTGGGTAGGCGTCCCATGGTGCAACTTCTGCATTTAGCGATGTACTCTTTGATTTGTGCATGCATCCGAGGGCAATGCACACGAGAGCGCATAAGACTGATGTTCCTGTCTACGCCTTGTACATTGTGCCGGTTATCAAACTTGTTGGATGCAGAAGCTGCATACAGGTACCCTGGAGTGGATCGACTATTTTTCTGAAAAAAAGTCAATCTTGCAGAAGTAATCGTTTATTCTGGCAATTTAAATTCCAGTTACCCCGATCTGGCGGGGGATTTTCTGGCCTCGGCACAAGAAGTGGGCCCGTTTTTTTCATCATCCTTCTCTAGTTGCACTAACTCACTCCGGGGTAATCTAGGTAAAAGTGTACTTATTCCCCTTTGTTTTGGTACTAAATGTTTGGTAGACGTTGAACGGCTTACCTGAGACCGAACGTTCGCTGACGGTGGAGTATCGAGCGGCGGCACGAAATATTGTCTCTGGCAGTAGGTTTCCTGGGCCATGGCGATATCCGATGGTGCAGGAGTGTCAGTGGAGATTTCCAAAGGCGTTCTAGACAGAGCAACAACTGGGTTTAGTCGACCCGCCCAGTACTGTACACCAAAGTTGAAGTGTGCCAGCTGTGCTGTACACCAAAGTTGAACTGTGCCAGCTGTGCTGTACACCAAAGTTGAGTTGTGCCAGCTGTGCTGTACACCAAAGTTGAAGTGTGCCAGATGTGCTGTACACCAAAGTTGAACTATGCCAGCTGTGCTGTACACTAAAGTTGAACTGTGCCAGCTTTGCTGCACACCAAAGTTGAAGTGTGCCAGCTGTGCTGTACACCAAAGTTGAACTGTGCCAGCTGTGCTGTACACTAAAGTTGAACTGTGCCAGCTTTGCTGCACACCAAAGTTGAAGTGTGCCAGCTGTGCTGTACACCAAAGTTGAACTATGCCAGCTGTGCTGTACACTAAAGTTGAACTGTGCCAGCTTTGCTGCACACCAAAGTTGAAGTGTGCCAGCTGTGCTGTACACCAAAGTTGAACTGCCAGCTTTGTGCCCAGCATTGTTCCTGAGCCCCAAGCGGAGCGGTTCGAAAATGCAACAAAGGATTATTGTCAGTGTACACAGTGAAAGATGCGCCTATCAAATAATGACGAAATTTTTCACTGATAGCCCATGCCATTGCAAGAAACTCTAACTTCAAGTTACTGTTTAGGGCTTGATTTTTCTCTGTTGGTCTAAGGCGTCGGTTAGCATAAACGATTATGCTTCGTGCACCGTTCTGTTCATGTGAGAGAAGTCCACTAAGTTCCTCATGTCTAGCGTCCGTTTCAGAAGAAAGGTTTTGTAAAATCAGCGTAGCCAAGCGTTGACGCAGACGTAAGGGCTTCCTTAAAACGCTCAAACGCTTATGGTGCCGTTCTTCCCACAGTTGCCCTATCTTGTTGGACTTCTTGATAGACTGTTTACTCCCTGCCGACACTAGATCGTGGAGTGGTCCTGCAATTTTTGCGAATCCCACGATAAATCGTTGGCAATAACTGGCAAACCCCGAGAAAACTGCGTAGCTCTTTCGTAGTTGTCGGTTCTCACAACCTCAACTTTGAAGGTGTCACAACCAACTCCTTGGTCTGAGATGGTGTGACCTAGAAAGTTGACTTCACGCCGAAGAAGCTGACATTTACGAGGATGAAGCTTAAGCCCAGTCTTGATAATATGACCCAACAGCCGATCAAGCTGTTGCAAGTGTTCATCAAACGTACTGGAGTATTTAAAATTTATTATAATACTATAACACATTATGGCAAGATTTTCTTGTAATTTTAGTTTTATCTTGTTTTAATTGACACTAATTGCTCTAAAGGCGATTCATAATATCATTTTAGCTAATTATGAATGCTATAATTTTTAAAACATTTTATTTAACATTATGAAAATATCAAAATAAACCAGAGACATTTAAACATGAAAGTATCAACATAAGACAGAGACATTTGAACATGAAAGTATCAACATAAGACAGAGACATTTGAACATGAAAGTATCAACATAAGACAGAGACATTTGAACGTGAAAGTATCAACATAAGACAGAGACATTTGAACATGAAAGTATCAACATAAGACAGAGACATTTAAACATGAAAGTATCAACATAAGACAGAGACATTTAAACATGAAAGTATCAACATAAGACAGAGACATTTAAACATGAAAGTATCAACATAAGACAGAGACATTTGAACATGAAAGTATCAACATAAGACAGAGACATTTGAACATGAAAGTATCAACATAAGACAGAGACATTTGAACATTATGAAAATATCAACTTTTCTCAGGGTACAGTGCCGGGCTCCTTCTCTTTCTCTGTCATATAAACGACCTCCCTGATACTGTAAAATCTCAAGTGAGGCTGTTTGCAGGTGACTGTCTTGTCTACAGAGAGAATGGCTACGATGACCACAACCACCTCCAAGTAGATTTAAAGTGTCTTATGAAATGGGTGGACAAATGGGGCATGACATTTAACGAAACCAAATGGTACACAATGAGCATCTCAAGGAAAAAAACATCAACATATATGTACTCTCTAAACAAGACCATTTTCCAACAAGTATCAAATAATCCATACCTTGGAATTCTCTTCTCGAATAATCTAAAATGGTCACGCCATATAAACAATTTTTTTTTTTAAAATCCAACTCCACACTTGGTTTCATTCGAAGAAATCTGAGCCACTGCCCAACATCCTGCAGACGAAATGCTTATCTCGCACTCGTCGGTCCGCTACTACAATATGGTGCGATTATCTGGGACCCATACCTAAAGCAAGACGTGGACAAGATAGAGCGAATACAACGCAACACAGTGCCCTTCATCGCACGTGACCACAAATCCACCACTCCTGACTTCATCACTGGCCTCTTTAAAAGATCTGACATTCCTTCCCTCAAAGACAGACGAGAAAAGCTCCGTCTAACATTTCTCTATAAAGTGGTCACGGGGCTGGTGCCGGCCATCCCAGCTAACACGTATTTCACCCGCAGAAGCCAGGTCGCTTAATCAGAGCCAAACCCTCAATAAACACTGACTTCACCTCTGACAACTCCATGAGCGGTTACATCCGGAACAATGATAAATGCTTCACTGTGCCTCTGTGTAACACAGATCAATATAAACCATCATTCTTCCAACGACCAATAATTGCTTGGAACCACCTGGACAATGCCGCCGTGGACTCGACCTCAATCGAGAGTTTCAAGGCTGCCCTGGCACCCGCTAGGAGCCGTTAGGATGGCCGCATCGTTTCCCAAACCGTTGCACATATGCCAGTACATTAGGGTGACCAAACGTCCCGTAAAAACCTCCCGTTTCTCAAACCAAACATGTTTTCAAATCACTAAAACTTCATAAATTATAATATTACTTCAAGTAATATTTTGGCTGGCTGTGTAGCCAGTGCCAGCTGAGTAGTGATGAGGGCTCGTGTGATGGCTGCACTGTTCCCTCTCCTCAACTACTCTGCTGACGCTGCGATGTCCATGATAGTAATACTGAAAGAATCTTTTCGCTCATGAACATTCAATGGACGGACGAAAGAAACAAGATGTGAGTGGAGACTCTTTCTGCAATCCTGCAGGTTCTCTACAATTTCGAAATGGACTGTTCTAGTTTTGACAGCTTTATATTAGATAAGAAAGAAGTTTTAAAAATGGCTGGGACAACAGCCAAATATCGCTATTATAAATCCTAGACTAGAGAAATTTAATTTGTTGTGCTGTATTATATTGAAAAATATGTATAAATAAATAAGTATTCACTGCAAAATTATTGTTTTCGTTTATGATATGCCTCAGAGTTTAAATTAAATTTTTTAAAAAGTGAAGGTCCAATCTGAAGGTAAATTTAAAAAAGATTTCTAGTTTTCAAAATAGTTAAAGGAGCATATTTCAATAAACAGCTTCCGATGGAAGCCCCCGTACCCTCTTTAGCTGGAGGGTTTCCACCCAAAAAACCCTTCTTGGGCGTGGTCCGTTTTTTCCAGGTCATGATTTGGTCATCCTACAGTACATGGACGCAGAAACGTAGTTTATCAGAATCAGAATCAATATAAACCAGAGACATTTAAACATTATGAAAATATCGACATAAATCAGAGACTTTTAAACATTATGAAAATAGCAACATGCAACAGAGACACTAAAACAATATAAAAAATCTAATTTTGATTTTTATAGTGATTTAAAATGAAAGCATCTCTTCATGTTCCTTGTAAATTGCATATCATTAGTACATTATTTGATGATATGCACTCTTGTTTAATCTTGTGTAGCGTGTTCTTGTGTTGTATCTTGACTTTTGTACATACTTGTTGGGTTAGATGCAATGTATTTAGTTGACTTTTGTACGTACTTGTCAGCTCATTTTCTTCTACCGAAACTCCCCTTACTATCATTCTTCTTTTTAAAAGTCTACTTTCACTCTTTGTAACTAGCGTCAACAAAATGGCTGACAGACGAAAACCCACAGGGAATTCAATACAGGAAAGTAGCCAGGAGACTGAACGACAATTTATGGGTTAGTAAGGAATAGAATCTATACATAACTTCCTTGTAATAATTTTTAATCTTGTTAGCGCCATTGAGGAGTTATTATTAAGGGTTTTTTTTTAATTTAAAACTCTCTATTTACCAGATGAAACGTAAATAAAAAGTAGAAAATAGACAATAAATTAAAACACTTAGAGTCTTAGAGTGAAGTTAGTGTGACCTAGCAAGTTGACCGGGCCTTGAATAATTAATAAATATATAGGACAATTATTTATTGTTTTCCAAAATGAGAATTAGGTCAATTTACGCAATCCTGTGTTGGATTCTCTTCCATTATTTTATTCTTGGATTGTTACTAGACTTAACCTTTCTTTAAAATGCATCAATGAAAATATGTTTTAATCATAAATTAATAAATTATAATTTCATTGGGTGGTTAATGATAATTTTTAACTTTCCTCTGCATTTTGGAAAATTAGGTCAATTTACGCAATACTGTGTTTGATTCTCTTCCATTATTAAATTATTTTATTCTTGGATTGTTACTAGACTTAACCTTTCTTTAAAATACATCAATGAAATGTTTTAATCATAAATTAATAAATTATAATTTCATTGGGTGGTTAATTATAATTTTTAAATTTTCTCGGCATTTTAGAAAATTAGGTCAATTTACGCAATCCTGTGTTTGATTCTCTTCCATTATTTTATTCTTGGATTGTTACTAGACTCAGTGGCGTAGCGAGGGTGTTGGCGCCCGGGGACAAGATTTGCGCCCGGGGACAAGATCCATTCTTAGCGCCCCTTTTTCTTTTTTTCAACTCTCAAACCAATTATTTTCAACTCTCAAACCAATTATTTTCATCCATAAAATAATATCAAAGCACATTTTGGCGCCCCTAACTAGCTAGCGCCCGGGGACATCTGTCCCCCCCTGCCCCCACCACGCTGCGCCTCTGACTAGACTTAACCTTTCTTTAAAATACATCAATGAAATGTTTTAATCATAAATTAATAAATTATAATTTCATTGGGTGGTTAATTATAATTTTTAAATTTTCTCGGCATTTTGGAAAATGGGCATGGTATTGACAGTATTGTATTTTATTTCTGACAACATTTGGATTTTCTTTTTGGTTGAATCGCAAATAAAGTGCTTAAAAGTGATGTGTATTCTATGAAATCTTAAGTTGGGTTTTCTTTATTTTAAAATTATTTTTTTATTGTTTTTCTTCATCTTTACACTTTTATTGTATGCAACTATAGCACACATGTTTTGATTGAGGGAAGGGAGCATGAACTGACTGAAATTACAGCAGGAAAGGTAGCGACTGCAGGTTCTTATTACTTCTTGCCACATATCAAGAGTAATACATTGAAGTTGCTATGTTCACCATGAAATTAATGTACCGGCCGAAATTACACTATGACAGGGTCAACCATAGGTCGTTGACATTTCTTGCCACATATCTAGAGGATAAAAAAACAATAAAGTTGCAATGTGCGCCATGATATTATATACCGACTGAAATTATTTCAATCAATTTAATATTTTGTTCCAATTTTCTTTTTCTCTGCAATTAGCTAAAACTTTAAAATAGCACATTCTCTCTCTTTCCCCTGCCCAATTTAGCAGACGTGTGTTTGTATCCGCATCCGCCATCTTGGTTGCTGTGACCCATGGCAGCCAAGGTGGCCACTGTAAGAATTAAGTGGGTAAATTTACCGAGAATTAGTTTGTCTTTTATTCATGTTGGTTTCTAGAGGGATTTTTAATTTCTGCTTTCCACTTTATATACCACAATAGTGCTGTGAATAAAAAAATTACCTGGAGCTTTCTTTTTTTATCTTGTACATGTACACTTTGTTTAATATGATATTCAATTTTAAAAACTTTTTAATAATGAATTAAGTTGATAATTTATTTTTAAAAGTTAACTAACGGTGTGGAAAAAAAATGCTTTTCTGTTTGCATTGACCTTAATGGACTTATAAAAAAGATTACTTCGTAGTCGTAATTATTAAAATATATAATCTATTTTAAAAAAATTTCATTTTCATATTTCATATTTATAAAATTATTGAGTGAGGATTTATTTTCTTCATGTTCAGTCTCAGTTGAGTTATCTTATCTTCAAGTTCTGAAGCAGTCTCAGTTGAGTTATCTTATCTTCAAGTTCTGAAGTAAACTAGTCTTGAATTGAATTAATAAGTTTAACTACACAGGTTATTATTTGCATATTAATGAGCATTCTTATATAACTCAGTCATGGAATGGCTCTAAATATTTCATATATTAATTTACACATTAAAAAGTCAAGTGTTATTAACAAATTAAAAAGTAAAAAATGGATGTACTAAATATAAATTCCCATACAACACAATCACAAATCCACTAGTCAAGCTTCATCATTACATACATAGCTCAATAATAGAACAATAACACCACACACATAGCTCACTTACCTCAAGAGATTAAAAATCTGTGTTTTATCTTTCTAATTTTTAAAAAATCCAAACAATTTTAGGCATAGAAGAATATTTTTTTAAAATTTGCTTAACTTGACCACACTATTAATGTGATCCTATTTTTTTTAGATCCCAATTAACTAATTATGACTCCACTGAACATAGTTAGTTATAAAATGTATGCCCTAAGTGGCCATCCATAAATGACTTCACATCTTGTCTAGTGGGGAGGGGGGTCAGATTATAGTGACTTTTTGTGAAGAGGGGAGGAGGGGGGTCAAAAATTGACAAAATTTGCATGATGTCATTTTTTGATGATCCCTAATACTAATGTGAGGGCTGCTTTCAGATGACCATGAGACATGACTAAAATTCAGTAAATACTAGATTAAACTTTATTAAATACCAACCAGTGGTGATCAGATTATAATAATTGAGAGCTTTAGTTTTCATTGAAGATTTCAGCCAGCATTGTCGGCTGACTCAGTAACTTTGGGTTTGTACAAGCTCATTCAATGAATTTTACTTTTTATTTTTCTTACCTCTACAGATAAGTATAATGTAAATGGAATGCTTAAAGATGTCTTAACCAAACTAATTGCAAACAGACCAGATGATCCTATTAGATTTATTGCAAATTAGTAAGTTAACTTTCTGTTACGCAGCCCTATTTTAGTAAGTCATAACATTATTCAGTAGGTCCTATTAGCAAGTATTAGATATTCATTTTATGTGTCACAGAGACTGGTCCATTTTTAGTACTTTTCTCATGTTGCAAATTTACAATAAACGAAAAAAGCTGCAGAAAATTATGTGATCATGCAAATATTTGAGAAGGATTTAACTTTCAATCCTGCTCTATATCTATAAGTAAGTTTGAAAAATGTTAATGAAAAATGCAGGTAAGTCTGACATCACTCTTTATTTTAAATGATTAAATCCCTTTTATTGCTTTGATGCCAGCTGTAAATTTGTTCCTTTTAATCAGTCGCCACTGAGACTATTAACATTTCTATAACAAGGTATGTAGCTTATAGAGAAACAAAAAAATTCCTATATATTTTCCTTAGCTTTGAGGCTATTGCACTTGATGACCAGCCTGAAGATATTGTCAACAGAGCCCTCCAAGTTCTTTCTTTGACACATTACAGCCGTCCAGTGTTTGAGACCAATGTTATCTCAGCTTTTGATATACTCAGTAAATTCAAAAGTAAGAACAAACTGGTATCCTGAAACCCATCTAAGACTTGCCCATATGTCAATGACACTTTTTTTTTTAAATGCTTCCATAAAGTTATATTTACAATCAGTGATGGCTACTGGTATACCAGTCACAATGAAATCTTTGTAATAATATGATTCCAATGCCTGTTGTGCTTCATTGGTAAAATGGAAGGATGATTATTTCCTATAAATTTTCTGGACACCTCCACAACATTGAGCAAAACAAAACCAACTTGTCTTTTTTCCAGTTTAAATAGGGCTAGCAAAGAAGGAACTCTGTACTTATAAATATTCAACAAAAACTGAGGAAGAGAATTCATAATAAATATCAATTGTTGATGAACACTATCCAACACATAATTAAGGATGATAAATGATAACCAGAAATCTGGTTATGGTTTTTGAAACATATAATATAACTGATTGTTGATTTTTTTCAAAAAGATTTTAGAATTTTTCAAAATTGTATTTATATAATACATATATATAGGTATATATATATATATATTTAATGATTTATTTGTTTGTTTAAAGTTATTATTTTTTTTAAATTAAGATTTAATAAACATTTCACGACTTTAAAAATAATAAATCTACAGTGTTGTGTAGACCTATAAGGAAGCATATACTTTAGAGTTTGGTCATACCCCACGCTAAGTGTCAACCTTGCAGCTGCTACTTATGATGTCAACCTTGCAGCTGCTACTTATGATCTTAAAAATATAATATGTTAATTTGACCTTGCTGCAGTTGAGAATGAATTGTAAAAACTGATGACCAGTATAAAACCAGCTTCTGAAAACCGATAGCCAGTTTGTCAAAAAAAACAACGTATACACATCCATAATAATAATTTGTATTTAATAATGCTAGATAATATATATAGGCCTATTGTATAATGAATACACAATAATAATTGTGATAACTGTCACTTTTCAGTAAGTAAAAAACTTCATGGGGTCAATGGTGTGGTGCATACACAGTTACTAAAGGCTCTGTGCAAGTAAGTTTTGGAAATTAATGCTTAGAAGTTTTAGCCTCATATTTATTAAAATATTTAAATTTGAGATTTTTACTTTTTTTTTGTAATATATATATAACAGTTAATTGGTGTATCCACTATCATTAAATGCCAGATATATATTAGGATCATGTGCTGTAAATTTTAGCCTCTAAACTCTCCAGCAGAACCTTGCTAAGTTGTGTAAAACTTAACTTTTTCTGTTTGAGATAGACCTGTAGCCGTTAATGTTTTCCTTCAGAAATATGCCACCTGCTGTTCAAGTGAAATTGTTCAAGAAAATTGAATGTTCGGAGCATGAAGCAGTACCTTTTACCATTTTTAGATCAACAATTTTTACATGTTGCGTCTTAACTGGTAAGATGCTAATTTTAAGATCTCTTAAAAGCCCTGTCACCAATGATCTATAAAAAGTTATAGTTTGTAGCTAGGACTCCATTATTTTAAGTATAAATAAATAAATTTTCATCTTAGACTTTTTGCATCATTTATTAGTTCAAGATTTTACAAGACCTTGCGGTAGTTTTTCAAAAGGTTAACTTCAGGGTAATTGCTAAACAAAAAAATAAAAAATTCAGGTTTTTTCGCATTGAAAATTTATTAACAAAATGTAACATTTTCAGTCCTGTAAATTGGTCTGTTGCTAAAATGTATAAAGGTGAATTTTTGATAACCTCAACAGATTTTATTTCTATGGCTGGAAACCTCTTCTTCACCTTAGATGTTCAAAAGACAGGAAATGCTGACAAGAATTTATGTACTTCAACATTAGATCAACTCAAGACAGCTCTCTCCAGCTCAAAGAAAGATGTCAAAAGGTAAGCACATCTCTTTTGTAACTAAAATATTTTACAAGCCTTTATTGCACTTGATATAATGAATGCTTGTCTATTACTATTACCCTGGGTGAACCTAACCACCTGGTTGAAGTTAAGCTTGCTATTTGCAATCAAGGGATGTCACTGGAAAAATAAATGATTGTGAGGGGGGAAAAATAATTTTAAATGACTTCTTAAATTATAAATGAAAAGAGAAAATCTCTTTTTGAACTAAACATAAAAAAGGGTATTTTCTTATTAAAATTGGTTTATTCATTTTGGATTAAAGGGATTTATTCTATGTACCAATAAAAACTTGTAATAAAAAAATATTGACAAAAATATTCTTATAGGAATTGATTATGCTTTAACATCAATGATGATCTTAATAACAGTTAAAAATATAGACTATGATAAAGAATTCATAATATATCATTAAAATTCCTTTTTGCTTATTTCTTGGTTTCAGAATAATGGAGTCCAGCTACAATCTTGGCCCTGATAACCTGTACAAAGTACTTGATAAGGTAAGGCTAAAAAAAATTGATGGTAATCAGTTATATATTGGAGCTTTTATACACAATCTTAGTAGCAAAAAAAAAATATTAACAGAATTTAAAATTTCGCCTTTACTGGCAATGTTTAACAATTTTAATTTAATGTGCTTTACACAGGCAGTGTCTAACAATTTTATTTGCATCTATAGTATAGGTCTACAGGCAATGTCTAGCAATGTCAACAATACAGGCAAAGTCTAACAATTTTATTTTAACCTTTATAGGCAATGTCTAAAAATGCATCCCAGTCAGGATTGTACAATCATGATGAATTTATCATGGACGCCTGTGAAATATTTTTGTCAAAGGTTAGCTTATTTCTCAAAAGAGCTTTTTAAATTCCATATTATACTAAGCCAGACACCCAGGCTTACAGGTTGTTATTTAATTTTTGTTTAAATTTAATCAGTTGAAAATTTAATTTAAGCTATGATGGTAGATTAATAATGTTTGTACAGTTGTCTATAACAAAAATTAATCCCTATTCTTTAAATAGATCTGTTATTTTTAATAGGCAGTCAATCCATTTTAGATATCAACCTAACAAAAATATTTTTTTCTGCAGGTTAAAAGATTGCAATAAAAAGGATCAAGAAATAAACCACCACTTTTAACAGAGAACTTGATATCAAGCTTATTTTGTGAATTTGATGAAAAGATTTCACCAAAAAATTAAAACAGAATCAATTACAGTGTTAATTAAAAAATCACCCAATGTATAATTTGTAAATAAACAAACAATTATTTAAACATACCAATTAAAAAAATGTGTTTTCTCTGACTATAGCTTATTCTCAAAATGCTAACAATACCAAGAGGGTGATTCAGTACATAAGTTGGGAATAGTAGAGGAGAGGCTGTTTTCAGTCAGTAACAAAAGGGAAATAAGGAGCAGGCATGTAGAAAATTTGAGAAACAACATAAAACCAATGAACATTGGAGCAAAAAGTCTTCTTCTGTGAACAGTTAGTTACCAGGCAAATGTATGCACACAGTCTGAGGTTTAAAACCCATAGAACTCTCCTCCACATCCCACCAGTGGAATAAAAACTTTAAAAAACCAAACCCACAAGTGGGACCAGGCACCCCTAAGGATGCTAACCAAACCCACAAGTGGGACCAGGCACCCCTAAGGATGCTAACCAAACCCACAAGTGGGACCAGGCACCCCTAAGGATGCTAACCAAACCCACAAGTGGGACCAGGCACCCCTAAGGATGCTAACCAAACCCACAAGTGGGACCAGGCACCCCTAAGGATGCTAACCAAACCCACAAGTGGGACCAGGCACCCCTAAGGATGCTAAACAAACCCACAAGTGGGACCAGGCACCCCTAAGGATGCTAACCAAACCCACAACTGGGACCAGGCACCCCTAAGGATGCTAACCAAACCCACAAGTGGGACCAGGCACCCCTAAGGATTCTAAACATATCAAAACTGTCATGTTGAAGTCAGTTTCATAAATAGGTTGTAAAGGCGTGGCTGTGGCAAATACAAGCTGAACCTGGGGCAAGCTCTGAATTTGGGTAAAAGGTACATATTAATACACATAATTTGAAAGCAAAAAAAAACATATTAGGGCCCTATGAAGATGGCCCCTAGGGCGGATGCCTCCTTAGCCATCACTACACCCTCCCCTCCTTTCAAATGGCACATTAAAAATGCGACCAGTTTCGGGAGTGACACAATAGTTTGTATGGAGGATTATCAGCAGGGGCTTGATGTGTGGAGATGAAAAAAACAGGGATCAAAAAGCCATGGAATGGTCTAGATGAAAGGATGTGGTGGAGGAGATCAGAGCCCTACATGGGCCGATAGTGAGCACTAGGAGTTGCAATCTGGGATCCCGAAATTCAAATATACCGGAATACCGGACCATAATTGATGCTCGAAAAAAACCTGGATTGGATTTATGAAAAGCGGGATTTTCGATTATCCCGGGATTTCATTTTCAATTTTTTTTTTTTCGTTTTTCTTAGTTTCCAAGTCGTAGTTAAAGCAAAACATATCATATCAACAATTTATGTGATGTGCAAATCCCTCACCCCACGTGTCTCAAGTTCAGAGACCTAGCTAGATCTGTATACTCTTATTTGTCAAGAATCATGACGTTGTTATTAATTTTGTTTTTTCATCGTGCTTGTGTAGAGCGTAAGTGGTGACGAGCCACGACGTGAAGGTACAGTATTGGTAAGTAATTGTTTTAATATTATTGACAAATAAGCGATTAGTATAGTCGAATGAAGATTGAATTTTGACTTCCATTAAGATGTTGTATGGAAATAATAACACGTTGCACTCCAATCACGGGGTCAACTTTAAAATAAAATAAAAAAATTTGATTGCTTTATTTCTTTTAATTATGCCTAAAACCATACCAATATTTAAAAATATTAGTAAATCAGTATTTTTATAATCAAATACCTTATGTTTAAGACACGTAAAAATTAAGTTACTTCTATTTTTGTGATAACAATATTAATCGATTACATTCACCTCATAATTGATTTTCGAGCTATTTTGTCTCAGTCTGAATGTCCCAGTTTCTCTGTGCGGTACTTAGCCAAACATTTACATGAAATTTTAAACATTAAAAAAAAAGTTGTATGCGTCAAACCAATTTGATTGAATTCATAAATTTTTCTTAAAGATTAATTTTCCCTTTAGGTTGATAGAGAAAAAAATGGGGAACCCTGAAAAAATAAACCTAAATTTGAAAAGCATATGAAACAATCGGAAACAAAGACATCAGTTTGGTATTATTTCTGGAAAGCTACGGAAATCATCAGCTAAATGTATCAGATGTAAGAAGATACTAAAACATTAGGAGGTAGGCCTAACTTCAGGCTTCACTCTCATTTAAAGTCTGCACACTCCAGTGACTACTTGGACTTATTTCTAAGGCCAGATTGCGACCAGATGCGAAAATATATCGTGGATATTAAAAGCTTGGTCAGACAGCGGCTTCCTCGTTGGAAATATCTACCAACAATGAAATTGAACATCTTGGATCTGAGCATGATGAACTTGAAGACACACTGCCGCTTAAGAGACAATTAGAAATTGAAATACAAAAGAAACTTCAGTTCAGGATAATACTTCCAGACCAACGGACATTGTAGACATTGATATATTGGTATCAATAGACATGGCTTATAGAATGGCGGTTCAAGAGGTAAATATCTAGAAATAGTGTTTGATATCCTAAGGTCTATTCCTCCGACCAGTGTGGAGTCAGAGCGGGTGCTCTCTTCATCAAGTTAATGTTATAACCATTTGCGGTCAAAGTTAAGTGACCAAACATTATACTTATACACTTGGTCATTTTTTACGATTTCATTATTTAAATTTGAACAAAGATAAAACAACACCAATTATTTTAATATTTGTTTAATAAAACTTTTTAAATTTAAAAGTTACAAACATTATTTGTGTTCGTTGGATTAAAGTCTGAAGTTAAACATTTGTGTTATTCCTAAAAGCTTAATAAATATTAAAATGTGCTATTTTTTCTGAATGTTTTTATTTCATTGATAAATCCTAACCTTTAATCTTGAATCTAAACTAAAAATTCTCTAAATATCGAAAATACCGGGATTCCTGTATTGGTAAACTTCAATATCGAAAATACCGGTTTTGGCAAAAAGGACCGGTTTTGCGACCCCTAGTGAGCACCTTTTTAAAAAAAACTTACTCCACCATTAAAATACATAGTGCTAGCACTCTCATCAACTATCTTCCCTCTCTCTAATGCTCTTAAACTTAACATTAAAATACATATTACATAGCGCTAGCAATCTCATCAACTATTTTCACTCTCTATAACAACGGTGGCCAAACCGCGGCTCGCGAGCCGCATGCGGCTCTTCTGTGTTCACATTGCGAACAATTTATGAAATTAAAACTTTTCGTTTGAAATATATAATGGCTGCGTCTATAGGTACCCGGGGACCTATAGTTGTCAATAACTATTCGCACCCGGAGTGGCTCCGTACATATTAAATGGCTTCGGACCCGGGTGTGATAACAATAATACTAATAATAGTATGAGAGATATTTTTTTTAATTGTTTTTTTCTCCTTCTTATTTCATAGATTCATAGTTTTATTCTTTTTATTTTTTTTTATTTTTGCTATATTAATTTTTCTTAGGACGGATAGATTTTTTTCTTTCTTATTTTCTTTTTTAGTTTAAGCCATTTTCGTAGATCATTTTTTTTTTTTTTAAATCTAGTAATGAGGTTGATTTAGATACATTTATTGTTTTCATTTGAATTTTAGAAAAGTTAATCATTTAAATTTAATTATTAAAATTAAATCCTTTATTTAAGATTATTCATGTGCATTGTTTAAGTTAAAAGATTTAATCACACAGTACTTTATAAATTAATTAGGTATTCTAAATAATGAAAATTTCATTCATAATGAATTAATTTCAACTATTCCTCTAGAGAGCTTGGCTTAGTCAGAACAAAACCACCAATTTTAAACTTTTTCCTTGGCACTGGGAGTCATACATGCGGACACTGACTGTTTTTCATGAATCTCGAATCTCCTTTCAACAACTTTTCTATTTGACTTGACCTAATTCACAAGGTAGTTGCAATGAACATCTTAAAGTTAAAAGATGCCATTGTATAATGCTTGAGAAAGAGACTTATTTTTGGAGGACTCATCTTTTTTTTTTTACCATAGCTGTCTACTGGGTCTAACACACTGGTACATAATTTAAAATTTAATAGAAAAAAAAAACCTTAACTGACTTGAGAACATTTTTGTTTGGTTGTTAGTTATTTGAGTTTTGTACTCAAGTAATCCATAAAATAAATTAGGGGCCAGTAAGGCAGCCAATAAACTCATTCAATTAGGTCACATCATTCCTTTGCCATTTGTCTCCTTTTACTTTCTCACATTCCTTGTTGGTACCCGTACAGTTAACTATTGTTTGTATCATTTTTTCATTTAAGTACAGATGTAATTTTTGAGTGGGAGCAAATAAATGTGATCTGTGAAGGGAGTTTGGTTTCAAGGCAACTAAGTCGTGCCACATTGAAAATAAAATACTGATAACCCTAAATAAACAGAGCCATTGAAAAAAATATAGTACATACAAACCATACACAAATAGAAAGACAAAAATCCACTAAAGTTTATCTTTTTTAAATTTGTTGTGACTTTTATTGCAAAAAATTAAACATTTTATACCAATTTTGACTTTTACGCAAAATGAATAAAGATAAATTTGTATTGCATTATATTGTAACTTATTGTACTGTATTGTAAATGAAACTTTTAACACAGCAGTTATTGGAAATGTTACAAATGGCATGTATGTG